ACTTTCAATTAAAAATTATGTATAAATTATTCATAAACGAGTTAAAAAAAGACAATATTATTTAGAAACTAATTAAAAAAAATAAACTATTAAAAAAATTTTATAAACAGAAAAATTGGTATATTTGCAATCAAAAAAGAAATATTTACAAATATAGTAATGAAAGAGGAATTTGTGGGTGAATATTGTAATCTTCTGTACAAGATATGTCTTTTGAATCAGATTAATGGTTAGATAATATGTCACACTTAAATTGCTGCTATAGTTTGAGACTGAAGTAATAATTATAATTGTGATATAATGAACGTAGATATTATTAGAATATTCACTTGTGAGTTGTCCTACATCGTTTATATAGGAAAAATAAGCATAATTTATAAGTCTAATGGGCTACTCCTCTTTACATGATATCAGAGTCAGGTTCTATGTGGGACCGTGTGATGACGTACTCGTTTTCTCCACGTACCCGTTTCGTTTTCTCCACGTACCCGTTCTTGGGAGTCTGTTTTTAATAGGGTTTGAGCTTTCTTATTAAGGACTCACAAGTGAGTGGCTCATTTTCTCCACGTACCCGTTTATGGGAGCCTGTTTCTATTGGGCTCATTTTCTCCACGTACCTGTTTATGAGAGCCTATTTCTAGTAGGGCTTGAGCTTTCTTATTAAGGACTCACAAGTGAGAGGCGTATTAGAATATTCACTTATTCACTTGTGAGTTGTCCCACATCCTTTATATAGGAAAAATAGTCCTAATTTATAAGTCTAATGAGTCACTCCTCCTTCCACTAATTGTTTTCTCCACGTACCCGTTTATGGGAAGTTGCTTCTAGTAGGGCTTGGGCTTTCTTATTAAGGACTCAGAAGTGAGGGAAGTATTAGAATATTCACTTATTCACTTGTGAGTTGTCCCACATTCTTTATATAGAGAAAATAGGCTTAATTTATAAGTATAATGGGTCACTCCTCCTTCCACTAATTGATTAATTTATAAGTCTAATGGGCCACTCCTCCTTCCACTAATTGCCCCACGTAAGTTTCATCTGAACTTTCCTTGTTATGGTGACCGCGCCTGTTTTTTCCCGTACGCATTTTAGTTAATTATATTATTCACTTTTAAATTTATGACAATTGTTGCACGTGTATGAATCATTTAATAATTATTATATTAGTTTCAGTTAACTATAATGTGGGAATGAAGCCTAATATTATATTCTTTAGTTTCATTATTGTCCAATATTTTATTAATTTTTTCTCAATTAAATGAAAATAATGGGATGAATAGGATTCCATGTGTAACTAATAAAGTAAAAATTAATTTTTATGAGCTTCATATTTCTGATCAAGAGTATAAATACCTGATCAGAATCAAATAGTTAAAGTTAAATTAGGTCTTGTTTGTTTAGTGTGACAGCTGTGAAACACAATCTGTTGAATTGGACAAGATGTTCTTATTGCTAAATGTTTTTAGAGTCAAGTTGAAATGATCATATTTTGACAGGAAATTAAAATTAAAAATATTAATTGCAGAGGAATTTCTATCGAATTTGAATAATTTCAATGGTTATTTATTCAACTGAGGAACTATTGGTGGATCAAACAATTTTAATCAAAAAAATTGTGTTATAACAAAAATTTATGCAACCGTTGAAGAACTACCCGAAAAAATTAAATAGGATCATTAAGTTCCAAAGAAATTCCAAAAATGATTTATTCAGTTCAATATTTTGGCCTTGTACTTTGTTTGACGACTTCAACAAAAGTAATAACAGTACAAATTCTATTAGAATTATTTACATTCTAACGAAATTCACGCAACCACTAGAAAACTACTGAAAATTTTACTTTAGGGTAGCTAAAATGCAACTAAATGTCAGGGAGAAAAAATAATGATAATTCAGTTCCACCTGATTATTAAGTCTTGAAATTTGTTGGAAATTTCAACAAAAGTAATAACATTAAAATATCCCAGAATATTATGTCAATTTGCAAGTAATTTGATTAACTCATTCTCTAACAAAAGTTGATATACAATCTTTAGTAAGAATAACTTCGAAATGAGTAAATATGTGGGAAAAGAACTATTCTATACTGTCAATAGTTATATCAAAAGTTGCGTTCCCCGTTCAATTATCCAATATACAATTCTTTTAGCTAGCATTCGTTGCATGTGCATGGAAATGCAAAAAAAAAAAAGTCATCTTTTCTATCAACCACAAATTTATTTGAGAAAAAAAATAAATAATAATAACCTTGTGATTTAATTTATGTTCAAAAAATAATTCTAATGGAATTTAATTAATCCACCAACTTAGAAAGAATTTTAGCTATAAATTAATTGGATACGCGACGTATTTAATTTGGAATCTATACTTATATTAAAGGGAGTCCTATTTACCAAATTTAGTAGCTAGAAAAGTCAATAGCATTTATTGTCATTACTATTTTCGTATTATACAATTTTATTTAATATTTGTTTTCTGTTACGATTTTTAACACAGATATGATCAAATTCTCTCATCATTAATTACTTTTTATTAATTATAATTTATTTATTTATTATTTTCTTAGCAAAAACGGACCAACATTAATTGAGTTCCTTAAAATGTGGAAGTTGTTGCTTTATTTTTGTACAGAAAATCGGGCTTCATTATAGAAATTTGTTTAATTACACAATGAATTTTCTATGATATAATTATTTTTTATGGGAACTTTTTTTTTAACAGAAAAATATGGAATTTCAATAAGATTTTTGATTTTTTAAAACTGATTGTTATCATGCTATGAAATTGAACATTCCAATATATCTTAACAAAATATACATGTGGTGTATACATCAGTTAATAGAAATATAGAATCCTTATATTATTTTTATATACGTATGTAATTTTTCTGTTACCAAATTTAACGGTGATTAAAATAGGTGAAAAATGGATAATAACCCTTCTCAGACTTAATCGGACAGAGCCTGTGAAAATAATTCATTTAATATCTTTCTCCCGTGCATCGCACGGAGTACGTACTACTTTGTCTATATGACAATTCGGCCAAATAATAATTTGTGCAGCCGAGTTATCATATGTCCGAATAATTCTCAATTAATCATATACGTGAACTTCTTGATCGAAACTCGAATATTGAGACAAAATTATCATCAAATCAAAAATCACAAAACGAATTATAATTTAATAAATTAAATTCCAATAAAAGCTAATTCAAAAATACAACCAAAAATAAATTCAATGTGTGACACGCGTAATTTCAATAAATATTAATCCATATTTTCCCTATCTTTACACTTCAACAAAATAAATAAAATCAATCAAAAAGAATTTCAACCAACTACTCTAATTAATACGATCTGGACGAGATTTTTCAAGAAAAAAGCTTGAGGCAAACCTGGCTTGCCTCGCATGCATGCAAGCTACTCTCTCCACAATTTTCTCCGACTTAAATCGGACCAAAATTGACACGTCAATTGCCAGGAATTTGAGTACGAGAAAACAACATTTTTTCGTTTCGTTGCCGTGTTAATAAAACCAGCACGTTAATGACTGGCGACATGAAACAAAAACGCGACACAACTCGATTAGAAACTGCGATTACAGAGACAACATGACACGATATTATACACGACACGAGCTGAAATAGGATATGTAATACAATTTTTGAATTTTTGGCTTATTGTCATGTTTATGATAAAAAAAAGAAATAAATAATACAAAAACACTATACTGAAACACGAACACGAGATGATAACAAGTTAAACTTAAATAAAAATAAAATTGCTTGTAATGGGAGTATTTAATGCACGTTATTTATTGCGATGCATGATTGCCCGATTACAAGTGTGTTCATTAAATTCCTTACGGGCCATGTCAGAAAGCCCGAATGATCACATGAATTCACGAAAATTCTAGTACGAAGGTTTGGTAATAGTTTTTTGGGAAAAACGTGGCGACCTAGTAGAATTTCTGTTGGACTTGGACTGGTTTTTTGGGCCATTGTCGGGCTTCAACATTATCTTCTACGTAAATGCCCAATCTATCTATTACTATATAATAGGGAGAAAAAAAATGTTTAAAAATATTTTCAGTTTGTCACTCAAATCCTTTTTTTCCCCTAAAATTTTATTTGAATTTTTTTCATACACGTTTTCCTTATTTTGGATGAGATTCCTTCCATATCGGATAAATTTCAATTCCTTTTAATTTGGGAGAACCGAAAAAAGAGGAATGCTCAAGTATTTTCACAATTGAATCTTTAGGAATCCGATTATATATACCATCAATTAAGATAACGATATCAAAAATAGCAAATACAAGTGGTTTTATGAATCTCCGCTATCGGGTATTTTAATCATATTATTTGTAATTCAAACAATTTTATAACGGATTTACAATGTCTTGTTTCCTCTAATTTAATTGAGGTCTTATTTTCAAAAAAAAAAAAAAATTGAGCATTCCTCAAATTTAATATCGTTAGTATTTATGAGCATTCAATTAAGATAACGACAAATTATCTAAACACTGAGTCTTATTTCCTAATTTAATTGAGGTCCCCGACCATGAAGACCATGTTTGTATACAAATATTTTCACTCAAAATGAGTTATTTTTGGTAATTATAGTTAATTTTTTTAAAAAAGTAGTATGGTTAGTTTTGAGTGGGATTTTGATTTTATATTAAAATAATATTTAACATAAAATAATTAAAATTGACTTGATGAAAATAAGAGAGAGAATATATTTGAAGTGAGAGTTAGTTAAAATTATGTGAGTGTATGAATAATAAATTAAAATTAATGGGATGTTTAAGAATGATTTGTTGATATTATTTAATTATATCAATAATATTTATTATAGTGGAGTTGTGTTAAAGTTTAGTTAAATTTTGAGTATGGAGTGAGTTTTTTTGTATACAAACACACTCGAAGAATATCCACTTATATTTATCCAAGTTATCTAATCCGGTATTTTAAGATATAATTAATATAATATTATATTTAATTAATTATACGATTATTCTTATGGATATAATTACTAAAATATTAATTATTCTAGAAAATATTTAAAAATAAATTTGAATTATCATACTTTTTACTTTATATATTACATATTAATTCAAAATTACATACTTTAATATATTAATAATTGTTTATTGTTTTTTTCGTCCTTACTTGTTATACTCTAAATTTGGTTATTAGATTTTTAAATTCAAACATTTAAAGGAAAATATCACAAGCAGAATTTTTGGGTAAATTTTATTTTATCTTGATTTCCATATAATCACATTCCTAACAAACGAATTAATATTATATTTTTTATCTACATTATATAACTGATTTTTTTATAATATAATTAATATAATATCTTAACTAACTAATCATTTATCTAACCGGAATTATCTCCCTACAAACTTGTCAATTTTTTTGAAATTAAAATGGTATGATTATTCTTACGGAGATACTTACGAATATATTAAACATTTAGAAACTTTTTTTTTTTTTAAAAAAAAAGAGTTATCCCTCCTTGTACTTTATTTAAAATTCTAAGTTATATTTTTAAATATATTATTATTTATTTTTTCTTACGTGTAAATGTTTATTATTTCTTATCTAAGTGATAAATATTATTGATTTTGGGTACATTTCATTTTATCTTAACTTCCATATAATCATATTCCTATCAAAGTAATTAATATAATTACATTTATCTAACCAGAATTTTCAAAATATAATTAATATAATATTTTAACTAATTAATCTTTTGTCTAACTGAATTTATCTCATTAACAAATTTGCCAAAAAATTTTGAAAATAAAATAGTAAGATTATTCTTACGGGTATACTTACCAGAATATAAAAATTTTTTGAAAACAAATTTGAATTATTCCGTTTTTTACTCTATTTGAATTTCAAAATTAAATTTTTAAATATATTCATACACATTATTATTTATTTTTCCTATGTGATATAATCTAAATTTGATTATTAGATTTTTAAATTCAAACATTTAAAGAAAAAGACCACGAACAGATTTTTTGGTTACTTTTCATTATATCTTAATTTCCATATAATCACATTCCTAACAAACTAATTAGTATAATAGTTTTTTATCCACATTTATATAATCGGAGTTCTTAAAATATAATTAATATAATATTTTAACTAATTAATTATTTGTATAACTTGATTTATCTCATTAACAAACTTGCCAAATTTTTTTGAAATTAAAAAAATTTGGATGATTTTGATTTGTAAAAAAACAAAAAATAGCTTTATTTTAAAGCCTAATTATAGGGCTTTAAATGAGTCGAACCGAACTCGACCTCATGTCCTCGAGCGAACTTTATAAAATTATATAAAAAATTATTATTTTTGAATTTCAATGAGCTTGATTTTGGCTCTTTTATCAAACTAGATGAGCTGAACCGAACTTGAGTCTTAACGAGTCAAGTTCATAAACGACTCATTTCATTCAACAACTCTACCTAAAAAATAGCTAGAGTTTTTTCAAAAAATAAAAATGCTAGTGGCAGTTTCTGCTCCCAAAGAGAGTCCTAAAGAGAGAATTTTTTTTTTTTAGAATACAATCCTTCAAAATCTCGAATTGCTTGCTAACAAACATTTTGTCTCAAACATTTATCTAGTCAAGCTCGACTGTTTACTAAACGAGCCAATTAATGAATTCCAGCTTTATTTGTTTATCACTATTTATGAATTGAGATATTGAAAATTACGAAAAAATTTATTTTCAAGTTTTAACGATCCGAACTCACGAGCAACCTCCACTAAAATTTATAGATTTTCTTTTCACAAATAAAAATTTTACAACTAGCTCCAAAACATACATTTAAATGCATATTACACTTTTTTTTAAATACAACATTTAAAATAAAATTATACATAAATCGTTATAAACGAGTTATAAACTCAAAAGCCAGTTTAGAAACCAATAACAAAATTCAATCATCAATAAAAAAATTTCTAAATGCTAAAAAGTTAGTTATTTTTAATTAAAAATAAAAATTTCATAAACTTATAAATTAAAATGAATTTGTAGGTCTAGAAAAAATACCATCTCAATTTCAATTCGGTCCGTTAAAACAACAATGATATCAAGCCCCATGTATCATCTGTGAACTCAAAAGAAAGGCTTTGACTTGAGAACTCAATTCCAGAAGGCCCAGATCGTACAGCCCAATTGTCCTTTTCTAGAATAATCTAGCTGCATACAGAAAATACAATTATTTTTAGTAAATAAAATAAAATTTGCTAAGTGAAATATAATTAATTTAGATTTCAGTAAATAAAATAAAATTTTGTTACGCAATTATAGGGGAAAAAAAGGAAAAAAGGAAAGCCAAATTAAACTAAGCCGCGTACAAGGCGGAGATAGATCCACCACCGTTCATTTTTCAGATCCTACGGCCAGCAATTAGGGTTTTAATTCAAGAACCTTCTGGAACTCGACCACGCTCCTCTCTATATAAAAACCCAACCTTCTAATAAGTTTTGTTCATCCAGAACTGGAAAATCTTTCTGCGTTTGTGTTGTGTAGCTTATTTCCCATCTGATTTTTATTTAGATCTGTGTGTTGTGAATTTTCGAGCAAAATGGCGCCGAAAGAAGGTCCGGCCATAGGAATCGATCTCGGGACCACGTACTCGTGCGTCGGGGTATGGCAGCACGACCGCGTGGAGATCATCGCCAATGACCAGGGCAACCGGACGACGCCGTCCTACGTGGCGTTCACCGACTCGGAGAGGCTCATTGGCGACGCGGCGAAGAATCAGGTCGCCATGAACCCGACCAACACCGTTTTTGGTAAGATCTGGTTCTACTCTCTGTTGTGTGGTTTTAATTTTCCTGCTCGGATCTGTGTTGAAGTAGCAGTTTTGTGGATTCCTTGTGTTATTTGAGTTTTGAAATATCGTGCTGTGGCGATTTGAGTTGATTGTGATGGTGTACTGTGATTGAATATTCATCTTTCAGATCTGTTTTGAGCTGTGCATCTGGTTTGCGTGATTGTGCCTTGAGCATTCAAGTGCTTAGTTTAGGAAGGGCGAATGTGATGGCACTTATTTATTATTGCTTGGTGCTTGATGATTCATATTGCCATATATACAAATCATCTGAATTTTGATGGCTAGCCCTTAATTATGCCTGTAGATGCCTGTAATTGATAAATATTATCTTGATTCTGGTGCATTTCAGTTTATGTGTTTCTTTTTGCGTTCACTCTGCACATGATTAGTTAAAAATATTCAATCGTTTGTCGTATGGAATGCAGTTTTTACCTTATTTGCTTCCTTTTTATGATGATCCATGTTACTGCTTCTGTATGATTGTACAAGATTCAAATTGGATTGATGGTGTATGCGCACTCATTGATAGCATCTAAGTCAGTTGGCATTTGCTCTAATCCATGGGAATTAATTGTTTTATGTGTCATAGTAGCAACGTGTTTGCCTGGCTTGGTGTTGTTTTGGCTCATTAGTCTACCATTGATACTCAAACTGAACCTCTCATACTGTTTCACTTGTGTGGCTGGTGTTGTTGTGGCTGATTTTTCTGCCATTGATACACAAACTAAAAATGACTCTTTCACTTGTCTGCAGATGCTAAGAGGTTGATCGGCAGGCGATTCACAGATGCGTCAGTACAGGGCGACATGAAGCTCTGGCCGTTCAAGGTCATCTCTGGCCCCGGTGACAAACCCATGATCGTCGTCAATTACAAGGGGGAAGACAAGCAGTTTGCAGCTGAAGAGATCTCATCAATGGTTTTAATTAAGATGCGCGAGATAGCCGAAGCTTACCTCGGGTCCACAATCAAGAATGCTGTGGTCACTGTTCCTGCCTATTTCAACGACTCCCAGCGCCAGGCCACAAAAGATGCTGGTGTTATTGCTGGCCTCAACGTCATGCGAATCATCAACGAGCCCACAGCTGCTGCAATTGCCTATGGCCTCGACAAGAAGGCCACAAGCGTAGGCGAAAAGAATGTCCTAATCTTCGATCTTGGTGGCGGCACATTCGATGTCTCGCTGTTGACAATTGAAGAGGGCATTTTTGAGGTCAAGGCGACAGCTGGCGATACCCATCTCGGAGGTGAAGACTTCGATAACCGTATGGTGAACCATTTCGTTCAGGAATTCAAGAGGAAGCACAAGAAGGATATTTCCGGAAACCCAAGGGCATTGAGGAGGCTTAGAACGGCTTGTGAGCGTGCAAAGAGGACCCTTTCCTCCACTGCACAAACCACCATCGAGATCGACTCTTTGTACGAAGGTGTCGACTTTTACTCAACCATCACCCGAGCACGATTCGAGGAGCTCAACATGGATCTCTTCCGAAAGTGCATGGAGCCCGTCGAGAAGTGCTTGAGGGATGCCAAGATGGATAAAAGCTCGGTCCACGATGTTGTCCTCGTTGGCGGGTCGACCCGTATCCCGAAAGTCCAGCAGCTTCTCCAAGACTTCTTCAACGGGAAAGAGCTCTGCAAAAGCATCAATCCCGACGAAGCTGTTGCTTACGGTGCTGCCGTTCAGGCAGCCATTCTAAGTGGCGAGGGCAATCAGAAGGTCCAAGATCTCCTTCTTCTCGATGTGACCCCACTTTCTCTCGGCCTCGAGACAGCTGGCGGTGTCATGACTGTGCTTATTCCGAGGAACACCACAATCCCGACTAAGAAAGAACAGGTTTTCTCGACTTACTCGGATAACCAGCCAGGTGTGCTAATCCAGGTGTACGAAGGCGAACGAACGAGAACCCGAGACAACAACTTGCTTGGAAAATTTGAACTCTCGGGTATCCCGCCTGCTCCTAGAGGAGTCCCGCAGATCACAGTCTGCTTTGATATCGATGCTAATGGTATTCTCAATGTCTCGGCTGAGGATAAAACGACTGGACAGAAGAACAAGATCACGATCACGAACGATAAGGGGCGTTTGTCGAAGGAGGAAATTGAGAAGATGGTTCAGGAGGCCGAGAAGTACAAATCGGAAGATGAAGAGCATAAGAAGAAGGTTGAAGCTAAGAATGCTCTTGAAAACTATGCTTACAACATGAGGAATACGATCAAGGATGAGAAGATTGCTTCTAAGCTGCCGGAGGCTGATAAGAAGAAGATTGAGGATGCAATCGAGACTGCTATTCAGTGGCTGGATGGGAACCAGCTGGCAGAGGCTGATGAGTTTGAGGACAAGATGAAGGAGCTGGAGAGCATTTGTAACCCGATTATTGCTAAGATGTACCAGGGAGCGGGAGGTGATGCCTCGCCCATGGATGACGAAGGCCCGGCTGGGCCCACCGGAGGAAGCAGTGCTGGGCCCAAGATTGAGGAGGTGGACTAAATTTGATGGCTCTGAGATATAATGGCGTTTTGTGGGAGTTTTAAGGATTGTCTATTTTATCTTTTCGTTGTTGCTGGTGAACGTTCTTTTTTTTTTTAATTAGTTGGGTAAGTGTTGTTGGATATTCACTGTGGCTTTTGTTTAAAAAGCCATGTTTTTTTTATTAATATAAGTATTTTGGATTTTCCTAAGTAATTAATATGGTGATTGCTCTTGGTTTTTTTTTTGTTTTTTTTTTCCCTGAATGGAAGCTGTGGTGGGCAGATAGAAGCAATACAGTTTCTCAGCATCAAATAATAACTGAAATGTGATATTCTAACAATCAATATAAACAAAGTAAAAGTACGAAATAGTTAATGTACTAATTTTTGTCCAAGTCGTGAATTTGTGATGCTAGTTTACCAATTTCTTCAAGAAGGTTAAATTACCAACCTTTCAAGGGTAAACTGTAAGTTGTAACTAGTGAAAAGGAATTTTTTAAACTAATTTACCAACTTTTCAAGGGTAAATTGTAAGTTGTAGCTAGTGAGAAGTTGAACTTGAGGGAATGAATTTGTGACACTAATACTAATTTACCAACTTTTTAAGGGTAAATTGTATGTTACTAGTGAAAAGTTGACTCAACTTTGTA